TTTTTAAGACGATACAACCATTGGTCAAGATAAAACAAAAATTAATTTTCAATAAAATTTCTGACAGAAGTACTTAGGTAAAAGTTGTTGTGGTTTTACACGTGTTTCGCTGCCACAGATTAAAATTGTTAAAAAACATGGCTTTGGGTCGGAAACGAAAACAACGAAATGCGATAATTGAAATGAGATGAGGGCGACTTATCTGATTGTCGCCGGGGAAGATATGAGATTTGGTAATTCTTTCATATTGTTACAATATGTCGACAAATGTTTGTAATTTATATTGTCAATTGTAATTTTTAATTTTATTCATATTCATACGGACGCAATTGTCAAACAATGACATAAAATTTCAAAATTTGAACTTTTACAATATGAAAAACATTTTATTCTGCCTTTTATTCTGTTAGTTCTGTAATAATAGCAAAAACATTAGTAAATTAATAATATTATATTGTTTATACTTATTGAGTAAAGTGCAACAATAATTAAAAGCTAAGTTGAAAGGAACTTGAATATCCTTTTTACAGCAATCATTATAATGACTTCCGTTGCATGAAACCAAATTACGCTTAGTTCCGTTTCGCCTTCAAAGGCCCAGATCCGTTGAAATGTGCATACGACAAAATGCATAAATTTACAACGAGCACCAGTGCCAAATGTTACTGCGACATCACCAATGACGCCCAACAACAAACAATCTAATAAAATTGCTAATGTGTTAGCACTAAAACTGTTCATAATTTTGTCAGATTATGACAATTTGCCGCTCATCCTTTGTTTTTATTATTATTACGAGTATTTGTGTGCATTAACAGTTTTTCTAAGAAAACTGCCAAAACTTGTGCAACATGTCGAAGGCATGCCTTCGTAGCGAAAGCCCTACACTCACACATTGTCAGCAGCAATTTCTTTTTATTGTTAACTGTTTTAAAAGTGCTGCCAAATTGCTACAATTTTTCATTTCTCAAGTGTTGCGTATCCAACTGATGGCCAGCTCGCCTTGACTTGCTACATCTAGCCTTGCTCTGCTTTGCATACTGAGGATACTCAAGATACTGAGGACACCGAGGATAAAAGTTGTGTGTGACTCCGGTCGTTTCTGTTGTCCACTGTAGCAGTTGTAGGAGTGTTTTATGGTATTTCTTGAGTTAGTTGCAGCAAAACTTGAAACTACTTACTTGGTTGAAAAACAACTTCCTGCAAAATTATTTTGTGGGCTCGAATTACGACAGAGCAAAGAAATGCGCTCCAACAAATTTTGTTATACTAATAAAATGAAAATTTAGAAAGGATATTACTAGCAATAATGAAATATATCAAGTCTGCTCCTACCCACATTTATATATTATAAAAAATACAGCTTTGTCATAATATTCGTAATTACAAATAATTACGGAGATACTGAAGATAGTGGCAGGGAAAAAATTTTCCCGAATTCATTGGTGTTTTTTATTATTGTAATATTATAATCTTAACTATTTTACTTTTTGACAAGTGGTTATGCTATCCCTTAAATAGTTTAATTTTAAACTGCTATTCAAATCATATTTTTACTTTCTGTATATTTTAATATACAAAAAATATATTACCTTACCATTATGTGTGAAATACAACATCATTCCAATATCTTCCATGTGAGGTATTTTTTTATATATAATTTGCGCATATCAGGCAATAACTTGGCTAGTGCCAACTCGGAAACTTAAAAATTTATCGCATATTTTCCAAATCCTTTTCGTAAATATAAATTCCAGTCAAATGATCTTGGTATCACATAATCACATAATATAGTATGTCTTGTAGTTTATGGTATTTCCAGCTTTAGAACACATAACTTCTATGCCCATATCTTTACTTTTGCATCAAATGCATTTAGCATATGATAATCAATCATTACCATTTCTGTAGTAATTCTGAGGTATTGTTAAACATTACGTAGTTGTTATACATATAAAATGGCAAATCATAAACTAAACACATCTGCCCTTTATTGTCTACCGGAAAAACTGCTATTATGGACAGTATATTATACTGTATGACCAGACGGTATAATACAGGTAATCACTTCAAACATCTAAAATATCTGGGCAAATTGTGACATCATGCAAACAATTGTTTAAATCTACCTGTGTTAACAAGTTTAATACAAGATGGAAAGACTCAACAATCTGCAGCCATATGTATGCAAGTTAGTCCCGATTATTTAAAAATAAATATACCAATCTCTGAGATGTCCTATAAAGCTATTAGTACTGTGTTAGGTTTGTTGACAGGTCACAGCCATATAGGGCCATACGAGATGATTGAATCTCCCGCTAAATCAGTTCTGTCGTATTTGTGAGAAGGACGATGAGAATGCCTCGCATTCTCTTTATTACTGTGTCGCCTTTTTACCTTTTACCTTCTTACCTTTTTGAGGGACTTGCCAAGCTCTAGGAATGATATTTAAAGAGGATTTTAGGATTTGCTAAAGGTTCAAGTTGGTTTAAGCGACTGATACAAGTCAATAGGCCTATGTAGATCTTTAGGATCACCAGTATAACCATTCTTAATCTATAGAGTGATTTACTGAAGCATTCATATAGTATATGATATTTTTTTTTATTTTTCCGAGTTCTTTCAGAAACAAATAATCGTTAAAGTACTATATATCATAACTCCTATCAGTTTTTTATATAGATAAAATTCATCTATACACTAAGACGCAACTATTTTCAGTATAATGTAGGTTTTGATCATCATCTCGGTGCATTTATATATTGCTGGTACATATCGTTAATGAAGAATTTTAAATTTGAGTCCTAATTATGATTTCATTCCATAAATGCTCAAAATTTGTTATTCATTCTATGAATTTTTGTTTGAGGTGGTCAGTTTTTTTGATAATTTTTTTTTGTTTTTTGTGACAAAGCAGCAGAAAATCATGTTTTAATTAGGTTTTTATCAGTTTCCTTTGTATTCAGTCTGTGCGCGTTTCTTTTTCAGTTTAGATACTTGCAGTTTCGTGTTAAACGGACGGATGAACGGACGGACAATCTGATTGTGCGCAGCGCCCATTCATCTTTTGCATTTCCTGCAATTTTAAATATCAAAACTTTTTCATTTGCTTTGATTTTGTGCGTCTATACACCAGCGGTACTAGGCTGCAGAGATATACTCAGTACGATAATTACTATTGTAAGTATAGAACACCACCAATCGTGCTAAATGAAGTCTCCGCCCGGCTGTCCTGCCTTTGGAACTGCGACGGTTCTGGTACTGTTGATTAACCTCCGAAGAAATGTCGTCCCAAGCAGCGTCATCAGAACTATCGCTCTTCTTTGTGTTGTTGTGTTGGGTATTTTAGCTGTGTAACTGCAGTACGCTCAGCTCAGCCTTATCAACTCACTTAAAAAACAACATCCACGAACAGCAAAACTCAAACTGCCGCGCTATCGCTGCAAACAAAATTCACTTTGAGAATCTCGTAAAGCGACGAAACTTTTTATCTGCATTCACTTTTCGTATTTTCAGTATTTACGTTGTTCATATTTGTTGCACTTTTTAAAATATTTTTATTTTCATTTTTTTTTTTTTTTTGAATTTTGTAGAGTAATAATGTTTTGTGATTACTGCAGTACACTTAATATCCGCTGATTAAATTCTTGCAGGTTTAAGTCAAAAGTCAGAGATGCGAAGGTATACAATATAATAATTTTTTATTTTTTTTTTTGTATAAATAAAGCCTATCAGGGTAAGCATTTAAGTAGTCTTCTTACGATCTACACCTTTTTAATAGCAAAAATTCATTGGAGTGCAAATATATTATTTTTTCAAAGTAAATGACGATAATGATGACTTAAAATTGTATACAAAAGTTTGAGCAGGTCTATATTTAGCTGTTGAACTATCATACCACAAGATCAGATTAATTATTGACTATTATATCTAATAAAATTACCATATACAATAGGGCATCAACTTTTATAGGAAAAAAGAAAAGAAATAACTTCTATACAGAATTAGAAATATACAGTGG